CCTGGAAGTGATCTCCACCCCTCCAGGCACCGTCCACAAATCTCCCAGCATTTGCTAAGACAGCTCTGGCAACCATAGCTACAGCATGGCTGGGTTGAAAAAGAGAAAGTGAGGAGAAGCATGAACTTTGTGCATGTGCAATGGAGTAAAGTGGCAGGGTGGGGGGAGTTGGGTCAGATGCAGCACCATTCCTTACCTATTCCAGTCCCACTTTCTGCTGCTGCCATAGCAGGGGTACGTTTTTGCCCATGCCCCTTCCCCCGATGCAGCCCTATCAAGCGATAGCAGTTTTCAGTGGTTTCAATCGGACACTTTTCTTTCACTGTAACTTTCTCCCTCTCTCTCATCAAATGGAGATATTCTCAGGGGTTATATTCTTTATGCAAGTGATCCTCCCTGCTGAAGTTTAGAGACATAAAAGAAAGCATCTCTGTTCTAGAAGCAAATAAAATTCTTTCTTGCAGTGCAGGCACAGGAAACTGCGACAACATTGGCATGTGTGTTAGGTTTTGTCCTTTCTCTGGATGTTGAAATGGCAGGTGGGGAGGGAGTCTATTTTCATTTACAAAATCTTTTGTCATAAGGAGTACCCAGTCATTTTGATCCTGTGGGCACTTTTGGAATTTTGAAGATGTGGAATGGCCCCACCACGAAATGGCTGCCATAGATAAGTGATGACCAACCACAAAATGGCTGCCATGGCAGCTGGGGCCAATCACCACATGTCGAGAGGTTCCAAGTTCTCCTACAACAGAGGTATATATTTTTGAACAAGTGCTCCCTGCAGACACAAAAGTTATTTCTCCTAGGTTTTTCAGAAGCATCTTCCACTCCAATGAGGCAGAAGAAAACCAGTACTGACTCTTTGGGGGGGATGACAGAAACTTCATCAAAGAAGCACTAGAAAACCCACTGGTGGACATAATTGTACCCACAGGCACCATGTTCAAAATAACTACTTTGACCCATTTATTGGGAATTAAAGCAATATTTATGGGGGTCCTGGTTGGTTCTGCACATACAGAAATAACTTGGTTTATTGTAAATTTTATTCTCATCACTGGTTGGTTTTGCACATACAGAAATAACTTGGTTTATTGTTTATCTCAGATATCTTCCGGATTGCCAGCTCTGGCTTGGGAAATCCCTGGGGATTTGGGTGTGTGTGTGTGTGGAGTCTGAGGAGGGCGAGATTTAGAGAGGGGAGTGACTTCAGCGGGGTATAATGCCATACAGTCCACGTTCCAAAGCAGTCATTTTCACCAGGTGAACCAATCTCTGTTGCCCAGAAATCAGCTGCAATCCTGGGTGATCTCCAGCCATCACCTGGAGATGCTGCTATCCTGGGTGATCTCCAGCCATCACATGGAGATTGGCAACACCAGACATCTTGCATCTCTTCTTGTTTGACACCATCGGGTGGGGTGGGAAAGCACGTCTCCACACAGAACCCATCTTCAAAAGCAAAGAATGCTAGCAGCAGTTGTGCATCTGTCCCCTGCAGGAGCTGCCATGCCTGTCACTAGGGGTGGGAATGTAATGTGGTTTCCTTCTGCCTCTGTCCTCTGCCAGTGCCTGCCTTTCAGATAACACAAGCAACAACTGTGCTAGCTGCTTCTATGCTGCCATATTTGTCTATCACAGGGGGGAGAGGGCTACAGCATGACTTCCCATGACTAGAGATTGTGGGTCTCCTATCTGACCTACATGTGCCCTCAGGGAAAGCGTTCTCAGTTGTAGGAGGTTTGCTGATCATGGGATTGTTAGGGAGCCAGTCACGTGTATCTTGGAGCCATTTGTCAACACATTTTCATATACGGTCGGTAACCATTTGCAGGAGAGAGTCCGTCCCTGCAATCCTAAGGACACTTTCCTGGGACCAAACCCTACTGAATAACAGAGGATTTACTTCCAAGCAGACCTCTTTGTTTCGAAATCATATTACGAGAATATGTGTGAAAGACTTTTCCAGTAACATATGTTTCATTGGGATATTTTTGCCAATCTGCAAATTAGGCTCCTGGGCTCCACCTTCTGCCACCAGACACTTGTGGCCATATTAGTAATTATACTGACACATGTACAAGTAAAGATCAGAATGTAATGCACAAGTTTTGTATTTGCATACCCAGTTCAGGAAAACTGGTTCTCTCTGTTTTCATTTTTCCCTCACATGCCCTAAGCTACACTGGAGCTTAGTCAGCCTCAAGTATGAGCTAATACAGATATATTTATACACAGCATGTTTTCAGCACTCATGAAATCTGCATTTGCCGTGCCATGAATCACCAATCTGCCATTTTCCAACAATGCAGACTTCCAGTCAAATAAATAATCCCTTTGATTATCCAGTGGAAGTTGACACATGTCAGACTTGGATGGCAAACATTTTTTTCTGGTAATGAAAGGAAGTGAGTAGTTCTGTCTGCATGTACTGTCTTGAATAAAGAAGATGATCTTGGACATGGTTCTCACTCTTTAAAAGTCACAGTCTATCAGCATACTAGAAATAGGTGGAAAATAGTCTTGCCTTCTGCTGAATTGTACTTAAAGATGTAACATTTGTATTTAAAAAGTCAGAAAATGACTGATTTGAGGGCCGAACTATAAGTTACATGTAAATATGTTTGTTTAATCTCTAGTTATGGTTATAAATACCTACCAGAAAGGCCAAATGCAACATACATAATGCCAGTTCACACATTACAGTGTACACAGATTGGGTCTGGAGTCCTCACTGTAACAGTCAAGTGTGAACTGTAGATTCTCCCCAATTCCTATGCGTGGGGTGCCTGACTCAGATCACAATCATGGCACGTGGAGAAGGGGCTTCAGCCTTCTCCCCTGGCCATTTTCCTGACCTGAAACTGTCCACGGGAGTGCTTTTTAGCACATTGGGGGAATTCATGTGCATCCAGGGTTGCCACATCCTACCTGGCTGCCTGTGGGGGGACTCCTGATCCTTCCTGCAGTTATTCTGGTGCATGCGCAAAGTGTGTGTGCCACAATGACATCACCCAGAAGTTACTTCATCACGTTTCTGATGTTGGGGGCAATGCTCTAGTTTTTGGGCAAAACTCTATTTTTTTTTTTTGCCCAAAACCTGTGGCCCCCACAGACCCTTTCCTGCCCTGCTGTGTGGGGACAGCAGTGTGACTGGTAATGGAGGTTTAAATCAACATCTTGATGGGTTTTTAATTTCTGTTACTATTAGTAATTTTAATAATATATCAATTGTATTTTTAAATATTTAAAATGTTGTTCATCACCCAGAGCCTGCTCTGTGGGGTGGGCAATTTATAAATTCAAATAAATAAATAAAGTGTCACCCTTGATGTTGGAAATGCGAGGATGTCACTCTGCGCTGGTGCCGGTGGTGCCGGGAGAGGGAGCTTCTCAGGCTGGGGCTTCCCCCAGTGGCCAGCTGGGTCATGGTGGATTGGGGCCCCCAAAACTGGAGGACCCCTGGCTCCACCAGGGGAATGGCAACCCCACGTGGATCCTTTGGCCATGCATCATTCTCTGTGATGTATGCAATGGGTCCTTACCTGAATCAAGAACCCTGTGTACAGGAATTGAGAAGAACCCACAACTTGTGCCTGAGTGTTATACAGGGTAGGGACCTATGTACTCTGTAATGTGAGAAGTGGCAGTAAGAACATAAGAGCCCTGCTGGATCAGACCAATGGTCTATCTAGTCCAGTGTAACAAGCAGTGAACAGGTTACACTGGAGAGCCAACAAACGTGACACAGATATTGCTTCCTGAAGTGGTGGGTGGGGAGAGGGGGCTTCTTAACCCTTTACCTGCCCACCATTTTACCAAAGCAACTTCTCCCAGCTGTTTTCCCCTTAAGGGGTTTCAGAAGCACATTTTCCCTGAACAGGTTTCACTTCTCTCCTTGTTACTTAATAGCTCAGAGTGCAAACCCAAGACAGTGTGAGAAATTGGTAGGCATAATGGGAGAGCAATGAAAGGTGAAAGGGCTATAGGTTATATGCAAATAATATAACAAAGACCAGCCAGCCTTTTCTAAAAATGAAAAGCAGCCTTGTGAGGCAATTTAATGCAGAGATGTGTGAATGGGGAGGGGGCTGCCTGGCTCTTCCCCCACCAGATCCTTTCTCGCTCACAAATCCCCAGCTCCTTTCCCCCTCCTTGTGTAAGTCCCGTATACCCTTGTTTACCTTACCTCCTGTTTGAAATGGCCTCTGCCCAAGCTGCTTCTCAATGCAAAACAAAGCTTTGCGGTCTGCCCCTTCAAAGATGGTTGCAAAAGTTATGAAAAGATCAGGAAAGCCAGAGACACAGGGAAGAGGTGGGGACATTTTCAGAGGGTTTAGAGAAGAAAGGGAGGCACACCCTGTTTCAATGTGGGTGTGTTACAAGGAATAAGAGTGCGCTTGGGGGCATGGATCCCAATGTACCACATTAAAACTTTAAGTACATTATTTGTTTCATTCACTCCAGCAAATAATGCTCTTAAGTAGATCCTTAAAATAGGGTTTGTTTTTTTACAGATGGGTAGCCGTGGCCAAATGATTGGGGATTCAACCAAACCAAACAGGGTTCAATGTATGCAAGGATTTAGGCTATAACATATCTCTGCCTTTCTGCAGAGGAGAACAGTAGATTTCACAGGGCCAGTAAATCTATGTTAGTGGACTGAGCAAGAGGAGGAGTGATTTAATCCTGGCTGTGAGAAATACAGCTTTCATAAAAGCCAGACTAAATATTTCAGTGGTGGTACTGAGAGTGATGAAGGAAGAAAATGCATAGAACAGTTTGGTGGTATATGTGTGGCAGCCTCTCATGACATACTTCCCAGCTTGTTTTGGTTGCTGGGCATCCTTTCTACACCTGGAAGTCTGTGTCTCTGGGTCACCTGCCTCTGTGGTGAGCTACCTCACCAGCTGCTTCCAGGCTCCCTCCCCCGGGCCACTTATAGCATGAGGCCGGCTCCTCGTGCCCAGATGACAGGTTCCTTCCCAACAAGCAAGAGGTGTGAGGTTGACTCCCAGCACCCAGTCCTCAGTGAGCCTGACTCACAGCATCCAGGCTGCAGGCTCCCTCCTTCGCACCGCTTGGTGAGTTTGCATGTTTCCCTGTTTGTTTCCCAGGCATTTGTGCTGTTCAAGATGAGCTCTTCCCATTCCTTTAAAGTCTGCTAGTTGATCGGAAACAGACACCCTTCTCTGCACACAGAGCAATGACTGGCATCTGCTCTGCTCTGCTCTGCGTGCTCTCATCTGATGCAGGTTTGCATTGTAAAGTGAAACCGAAGAGTGGGAAGAAATGTTCTCACTGGATGCAGGATCTGAAAGAACCAGGGGATGAATATTTGAAATGTTTGCCATTTCCCCATAATGCCTGTCAGAGCAGTTTGAAAGCAAGAAATTGCAAGTAGATAAATAGATACCACTTCGGTGGGAAGGTAACAGCGTTCCGTGCACCTTGGTGTTTAGTCATGCCGGCCACATGACCACGGAAATGTCTTCAGACAGCGTTGGCTCTTCGGCTTTGAAACGGAGACGAGCACCGCAACCCTAGAGTCGGACTCGACTGGCTTTCGAGCAAGGGAACCTTTACCTTTACTGAATGTAAATTCAGTGTATCTTGATGTGGAAGTAAAATGGTTTGATGGAAGTCTGTAGCTATGGAGCAATATGTAGGATGTTGAATGATGCAAATATTTTTGACTATTTGGTATACTCTGTGTGTGTGTGTGTGTGTGTGTGTCTCATTTTTTTCAATTAATATAGTAATATATCTATACATGTTATATAAATCTCCAGAAAGAACTGACATTTTAAAAATGTACTTATTAGACATTAGTGATTAAAGACAAACATTAGAAACAGCATTTCAATCCACTGTTTATTTCCATGTGAATATCATGATACTGATCCAAAGATGTCCTTAGTATGCATTTTAAAGATCTATGGAAAAAGGACTACAGGTATGAGGAGGACGTTTGTCATATTCTCTAATCAATGAAAAACAGTAGTCCTGCTCGCAAGTCACAGTGAAACCCCTACATATATGTGCGTACATCTGTTTGTAAGAAAGAGCCAGTGTGCCTTTACATTACAAATGAAAATGAGGACCAGTACCTGGATAAATGTGGGGGTTTTAATCACAAGTTCAGCTGCACATGCATTTAATATAACATGAAAATTACTCAACATACATACAATGAAAACATATAGTGTAGATTGTATGTACATTGTAACTGCATTCATTGTGAACAGGGCTATGGCACCATAATAGTTAGTTTCCAGGAATTGCTTGCACACGGCATTGTAACTTGTGAACAGGGCTATGGCATCATAATACTCCATAAAGTAGTTAGTTTCCAGGAATTGCTTGCACACGTGTAGGTCACTTCAGAACAACAACTAAGTGTGCAGTGTTACAATCATCAAACATTATGTGGGAGTGTTTATACTAGCAACATGCAGTGGATACAGTTAGATGTGGTAACAGCACTGATCATTAGGCATGTGATGGCAGAAATACTTCATTTTCAAAGCTGATGTAAATCCACGAATTTATACTGACTCCCTTAAAAGCAAGTAAAATCCATACTTCTGTTAAAGCTTCCTTGTCTATTAAAATCAAGCACATTCTCTCTGTCCTAGGAATCAAAATATACAAAAGGAATAATATTCACACTTTACATGCAACTTAAACAAAAAGCTCTCTCAAATAACAAGCAATATTTCCCTTGTTATCATCAGTGGTTATCACCCCCATTAATAATAGAATATAATCCTGCGGGCAAAGGCATTCCAGTGTGGTGTGTGAATGTTGCAATACTATGGAATTATTTAGAAGATGAACCCACTTACTGAGCCACATAATCTCCACCCAGGAAACCACTAACAAAAATCTATTTACCATATCACACACCATTATTATATCCCCAACTCCAACTGACCACAGGCTAAACACAGCTTTTTCCACCTTGCCATGTCCCCCTACAAATATTCTGTAGAGCAAATGCTTAGGTTTTCTGACATGAACTAGGGACTTAGGTAGGGTTGCCAAGTGTGAATTCAGCCACAGCGGGGGACTCCCAGTTGGCGGCTGGAGCGTGCGCCGCATCCACGTCACCAGGAAGTGATGGCATGCCGGGCACGCCGGGGGCGGGGCCATGACCATCCGAGGGAAAACCATAAAGTTTTCCCTCGGATGACCGTTTATACTAGCAACATGCAGTGGATACACTTTTGGGCCTCTGGGGTGGGGGTTTCCCCGCCCCCCGGGGGGACATGGTAAGCCTAGATTTAGGGTGGTCAACTGATGGCTGGCCCTCAGCAGGAGATGGCAATGTGGACACAGACATCAATGCAACAGCATGACATCACTTCCAGGGAAACCCAGAAGTATTGTCATGCCATACAGTTTCCAGCCTTTTGATACTGTCCATGGGGTTTTCATGGCAAAAATACTGGAGTGGGTTGCCATTTCCTTCTCCAGGGGATCACGCTTGGTCTGAGTCTCTGCTGTGGCAGAAGACCGGAAGGCCTGGCGTGATCTGGTCCATGGGGTCGCGAAGAGTCGGACTTGTCTGTGCGACTGAACAACAACAGTTTCCAGCAATTCCTACAGCATCTCCCCAGGGCCACTCAGGCTCTTTCAGTGTGTTTGTTTTTAAAAAAATCAGTAATTGAATACTGTTATATCAATATAATGTTATAAAAAATGTAGCAGACTCTATAAGTTCCCAGTTAAGGCTCTAGCCTCTTCCTTTGCAGAGCTACAGCTTTCCCTTCATACCACTGCAATGGAAAGATATAGAGACTTACTTTAAAAAAAATGAAAGCTGGGAATTCAGAAAACCTAGTACATATATTGCTATAACAGTATATCGATATAATGATATTTCACCGCTCTTTTTAAAAATGAGGCAGAGCCATGTGTAGAGTGTCAGGGGAAAATGGTTGCCAAGTGAGCTAGAAAAACTGAATTTTCCAAACCTACATGCCTGCCATCCAGGCTTTTTTGTGCAATATTTCCCGAAACTGTGTAGCAAATCAGATTTGAGAAAGATCAGAAAAAAACTGGGGAAACCCCAAGAGGTGCACGAATACACCATGATGTTGTGACAAAACAGGAAAAATCCTGCTTCCCAACAGCATTTGAACCTGGGGCAGATAACCTGTGTGGAATTGTCCTGTGACTAGAAAATCAAACTATACTGGAGTTTTGATTTTAAGTCCATTGCAATGAATGAGAACAGTGGATCTACCAACATCATGGTGAAAGAGATATTTTCAGCATATATCATTCCCTTAAAATTGTTGGGTTGACTATCATAGATTATTTCCTCTAAGTACAACCAGTACCTCTCCCCAAATACTATAAACGTACTAGGGAAGCTCCGCTTATGAGTGCATTTGAATACCCATTACGATAGTGCTTTTGTTGGCATGTACTACACTGCGATCCCAGAAGCCCACCAGCCACACATACAGTATGCCAGTCCCCATACTGACAAGCAATCATAGTTGCATAGTTACAATCTCTCTCCTTTGAGTTATTTACCATTTTGCTTTGAGGTTTATAACTACTATTGCTGAGAAAACTGATACCTGGATATATTGTTATTGTCTCATTCACACATAGAGAGGAAGCACTTGTGTCCCAAAAATGATGCATTTACAGATTTTTCAAATATAGCAGTTTCTTACACCATTATTCCTTTTGTTTGTACACTATGTGCTCATTGGCATATGTTAAATATTGCACTTCGGTCTATTTTGCAGTATGTACTCGTTGCTGCCAGACGAATTGATGGCATGATCTGGTGTTGTGAACACAGTAAAATGATACTATCAGTCACTTGAGATGGCAGACACACAGAATATGCACAATTTCCATCATATATATTTTATCAGTGTAGAAAATTGACCATGGGCAAAGAAACTGCAGGTACAGAAGACACAGTCATAATACAACATCAAAGCTAAGTATAATTAAGGGCTAAATTAGATGAGATGCTGGGAGATCCGAAAGTGGACTCAGCTAGAGCAATAGTGGAGGAAGATTCGAGCTGGACCCAATATAGGGTTACCAGGTCCTACCTGCCTGGTGGTGGTGGCAGGGCCGGCCCCAGCTTATTTTGCACCCTAGGCGAGGATCCCTTCTGGTGCCCCCCCCCGGTGCACTCACCAATTTTCAAAAATAAATGCATTTTAGGAAGAATGAAAAACACAAATAATCAAGAAACTCCCAGAGTATGGGGCCGGGTTCAGTTTGGCGCCCCTAAGGGCCATCCTGCTCTAGGCGACCGCCTAGTTCGCCTAGTGAGTGAGCCGGCCCTGGGTGGTGGGGCTCCTGGGTCCTGTCCTGGATGTTCTGCGTGATGTCACCCAGAAGTGATGTCATCAAGTCACCGCCATTGGGGTGACACTCTAGTTTTTGGGCAAAAAGCCTCTGTTTTTTTACTTCAACACCATAGAGTTTGCACAAAAACTAGAGCATCAACCCCCCCCACGTCAGTGACATGATGATGTCACTTCTGGGTGATGTCATTGCATCAGGGACATCACATGGCAATGTCCCTGTTCAGGGGTGGGGGTTCCAGGCCCCTAAAAGCAGAGGAACCCCCACTGGGTCCAGGAGATTGGGAAACCTAACCCAACAGGATGCAGGCAAAAGCTTATTTTAAAGTGTACTCTGTAGCTGGGATGGCAGTAAAGAAACAACAGTTTTCCTCCTTCATTGCATCTGCACAGTGTAGGTCAGCAGAGCTGTTCTGACTCCTGAGTGGTCAGAAGCCTGTTGGGATCTGACTTGAAGGAGGAGATAGCCTGCTTAGTGGTACGCTGTGACTGTTTGGCTCAGCACTTTGCAGATAAAATCTCTCACATACGTTCCAACTACATTAGCAAACACAGGGCTGGATGGTACTGGTGCTGACTTGTCCAATTTTTTGGGATACATTTCAGTTTATTCAGTCTGAGGATGTGGGCAGGGTCCTTGCAGGTTTGAAACCTACCACCTACTTGTACAACCCTTGCCCTTCTTGGTTACTTAAATCTGCCAGTGCAAGGGATGGGTGACTGGATGAGAGAGGGAGTTTATGCTTCTTCAACCGAGGGGTTGGTCACCCTAGCTTTGAAAAGGGCTGTGGTGCATCCACTACTTAGGAATCCTTCCCTGGACTCAGGAAATTTCAATAACTATCAACCAGTGCCGTATGTTCTATTCTTGACCAAGGTGATTGAACAGGGGGCTGATCAACTTCAAGTGAAGGTTGCCAGGCCCATCCTAGCAAACAACAGGAGACCAGGGGGGCTGAAACATCAAGCTCGTTGGGTGGCAGTGTTATGTCACCTCCAGGAAAAACCAGAAGTGACATCATGCCTCTCTAGGAAACCCATAGAATTTGGTGATCCTTAGAGAGGACTGGCATCACTTCTAGAAACACTCAGCAGAACACTCACCTCTTCCTCACACTTCTGGCTGATGCCAGGGAAGCCCTAGAAATGCTGAATCTGTACCTGGAGGCAGTTTTGGCGTGGACGTTGACTAATAAACTGAAGCATAATCTCAACAAGACAGAAGTGCTACTGATGAGTGGGAGGTCTGACCCAGAATTAATGGGTCATCCTTTCTGTTGTACTCTCATGGAAGGAACAGATTTGCAGTTTGGGGGGGTTCTCTGGACTGAGGTTTACTGCTGGATAAGCAGATAGCAGCTGTGGCCAGGAGTGTCTTTTACTAGCTTTGACTGATTAGCCAGGTGTGAAAGGATCTGGTCACTGTGATGCATGCTCTGGTTATGTCTAGATTACATTACTGCAATGTACACTACATGGGGCTGCCAGTGAAAGGTGTTCAGAAATTTCACTTGGTGCAGAATGCTGAAACCAGGAGTGGACCAGGTCATAGGAACCATATTTAGGGATGCCAGACTCCCCCAGCCAGTGGGCGCAGGGGTCCCCCAGTTTTGGGCACTCCACCAAAACAGGGAAGAATGCCGAAAATAAATGTGACGTGACTATGTGACCCGGAAGTGATATAGGCCTTAATCTTAGAGAATTGTAATGGTTATATATTTAGTTAAGTTTGAGAAATCTTAGGCAATCTGATTTGTAATGCATACATTTTTTCAGGACCTGTAAGACTGATTTGTACCTGTTTATATTTATCAAGTTATTGGCTAATTAAAATTTATGCATTATCTTTAATAAAATAATTAACTCAAAGGAGTTCTTTCATTGTTCTGCTGGCAAACGTTTTGACATGTGTTGCACTGCATTCACTGTGTTGCACTGCAGATGTAGACAATCTCTTTTAGAGAGATTGTTCAGCAGACCCTAATAGGTGACTTCACAGCTGAGTTCAGCTAATGAGGCGTTAGCTCTCTAAGAGCTGAGTCCATGTAGAGCCCTAGATTGGGTGCAAATTAAATAATTTGTCACAGTCCAGATAGATTATGCATGGGATAGAGCAGGTCGGGAAAGAAGTACTTTTCTCCCTTTCTCACAATACAAGAACTCATGGGCACTCAATGAAATTGCTAAGAAGTCGGGTTAGGACAGATAAAAGGAAGTACTTCTTCACCCAGATTAACACATGGAATTCACTGCCACAGGAGGTGCTGGCGGCTACAAGCATGGATGGCTTCAAGAGGGAATTAGATAACCATATGGAGCAGAGGTCCATTGGTGGCTATTAGCCACAAGGTATAGATAGGAACTCTCAGTCTGGGGCAAATGATGCACTGTAGTCTTGGTGCTTGGGGAGGGGCGACAGTGGGAGGGCTTCTAGTGTCCTGGCCCCACAGCTGGACCTCCTGATGGCACCTGGTATTTTTGACCACTGTGTGACAGAGTGTGGGACTGGAGGGGCCATTGGCCTGATCCAACACTGGCTTCTCTTATGTTCTTATGTTCTCAGTATTATCTGTTTTGGACAGGCAGTGGCTCTCCAGGATATCAGCTAGAGAGAGGTATTGCCCAATACCCAGTACCTAAGATCCATTAATGTAATATGCCCAGAAATTAATTTGGGATCTTCTATATGCAAAGCATGCACTCTAGCACTCAGCCTGCAGACTACATGTTTATTTGTATTATACTGAGACTCAAGGCAGATTACATAATGTAAATCAATACAATCAATGGACTGAGAAGACATCTGATGAACAATGCAATGGGACAAGGATAATAGAAATCTGAAACAAGGCATAAGTATTAAACATGACAGGATAATATGAATTAATAATATGAGTAATATGAATAATATGTCTGGACTTAAAAAAGAATGATATTATTATAATGTCTGGTGGTCATGTAATGAGGTGAAACAATATTGGAAGGAGGTTCAAAAGATGTTAGCGCAAATAACTAAAATACAAATCCCGTTAGATCCTGAAATATTTCTTTTGAATATATTTCCTGATAAGTGGGAAAAAAGGGAAAGTATGTGATTTTACATTTAGTAACGGCAGCAAGAATAGTGCTTGCAAAATATTGGAAAATGGAACAGGTACCAAACAGATAGGATTTTATGAGTAAAATAATTGAAGTGGTTGAAATGGACAATTTAACGCAAAAGATGCATGGAAATATGAATTCTACATTTTGGAGAGTCTGGTCACAAGTATACAAATGGTTGGACCACAAGGAAAATTTATAGTTTAAGATACTTACTGCATATAAGGAAGGAGTAGAATCTGTCTTTTATGTTAATTGTAGGTGTTTGTTACATTGTTGGTTGTTAGTTATTGTTTTTTGAGTGTTATTGTCTGTTTTGTATGGAGTTGTACGACAACGAAAATAATAAAAGAAATAAAACGGAGGGGGGGAAAGAATGACATAAGTGATAATGTCACCTATTGTTACAAGTAGAGTGTGTTCCACTGCAAATGTAAACAGACAGTAAGCAAGGTCTATAGTTATATGGTCTAAGTTTCTCATGACTCCACTCAAATTAACAGGCCTTCAACAATATACCCCAACTAAAAATCAACCTCATTCACCTCATTAATTTCCATCACTTTTTATGCAGAGAATGTCAGCCTCAGTATTTGACTATAATTATTCCAGTGTTCTGATTTTAAAGTGTTTCTTTCCCCCAACCCTGTCTAGGAACCAGAAGCTTACGTCCTCCGAAGACAATGGCAATGGTGCCCAATAACACAGATCTAAGCACAATCCTTTCAAGACTGTTAGAGTACATAGACCAAACAAGCAGCCCGAGGCCACCACCTGTGGCTCCAAGTGACCACCAGGAAGTAGTGTATATTCTGTTATTGCTTGGAATCTTTGGCTTCTTCACCTTAGGAGTAATGCTTAGCTACATCCGCTCCAAAAAGCTTGAACATTCAAATGACCCCTACAATGTGTACATCGCCACTGACATTTGGCATAAGAAGGACAAGGCCAACCTGCATGCCAAAGTGGCGGAAAACTACAGATTGTGCTGTGTGTTTGAAAACCCTCTTGCTGTGGAGCAACCTAACAGTCATATTCCTGAAGTGAAGCCTTCATAGCCAATGGCCACTTAATGGGACTGGTGTTGTGCTGGATCTTTCATGAGTACAAAGGAAAGCTCTTGGAATACATTCATGAATAGCAAAATGACAGAAAAACACTGGTCTTCCAGAAGAACACCCAAACATAGTGAGAACAAATTGGGGCGGGAGGGGGGTAGCTGTGTTAGCTTGTTGTAGCAGAAAAGACATATTGAGCCCATTTTGTCAGCAGAGACTGACCGATCCTTTAACTTAACAGAAAAGTTCCGGGGGGTGGGGGCACTGCCTTGGAGGGCCACTGGCAGCCAGCTAAGACAAGCCCCAGTACTGCTACTCCGTTCTGTCCCAGCCAGCCTTTGTGGAGCTGCTAGTGCCACAGGGAGGGGGCCACACAGTTCAGTTTGCTCTTAGGCGGTCTCATGTCTGAATCCATCTTGTCTGTCAGATATAGCCATAGTGAGAAAAATACATTTTCAGCATGTGTAATCTGACGTATTTTGGATACCTGTATTTGTAGGAATGCTGTTCTTTCTAGCTTGGGTATCAGACTGTATCTCTTCAGGAGACTTCTGCAGGCTATAATTCATTTCTACCCTAGCCTCCGCCAAGGCAAAAATGTGGAATAAGCTGAATAATGACTTTCATAACCGGACAGAGATTAAGGTTTAATCTCACACAGGTCAGAAATCCAGCCTGTTGTCAATCAGCTGAAGACAAAGTAAATTTAATGTGATTCTGGTCAAATCATTTCTTTGTGTACTACAGGCCACCCAAATGGTTGGTTTTTAACCATTCCAGACTGGTGTCTAGGAAAAGGTGTTTACCTGGAAAATAACCAGGAAAGGCTATGAATGGTTCTGCAACTTTAAAGCAAACTCTATAAAAGATAAATTAAAAGGCTGACAAGTACAGACATCCATACATGTCCTGCTAGTAATATGAAAGGACTAAATATAACATATCAGCAGGTGGCACACTAGAGCAAATGCAAGTATACGATGAAATCTTAACTTACAGAAAGATTTCCTTTCTGTTCTTCAGGCTCTCCTTTTTTATATAATAGCTTACCATAAAACCTTGCTTTTCTAATCTTTTTTCATGACAGATTTCTTTTGTGTCACCGTTGCTCAGTGCTAGTTGGAAAGTACTTTTTCTTCACATAAACATTTTGCCACCTGATTCTTATGCTATTAGCTAGATGGTAATACAACACTTTAAAGTTTAAATCCTAAACCTATTATGGTTTAAATTCAATCTAACAGATATTGCAGTCCTCGGCTATTAAAATCAAAGAAAAATGTTGTGTGAAACCTACAACATGCAAACTGCACCCATATCATTGAAGCTGCCAGATACTGCTCAGTCTTCTTTTAGACACAGCAGACAAGATTACTTTAGTACACAACTGGACTTTTGGGGGGAAGTGGGTTTCCTTTCATTTTAATATTTTCCACTGAAGGTATCAGTAATTTCTGGTTATTATATAACTTCTGTGTTATTTTAAACCAATGATTTATTTATTTTAAAAGGGGGATGATTCCATCTCTATACTATTTCCTCTATAGAGGAACATTAAGGGGTTCGGTGGAGGGGAGTCAGTTGTAAAAGAACATAATTCAAGAGTTCCCAACCGTGAAAAGAAAAGAAAAATGCCTTGATTGTGTGTACGCTTTTAACTGCAGCTTACTCTGCAGAAATCAGCCTCTAAAGGTTTTCATGGCATGTAGCTAAGCATTATCATTTGCTAATGTATGTTAATCAAGCTATTGTTTAATATTGGCCACCTTGGATTTGAGAATGTGATTGCATTGTTCAATCATTATTATTGTAATTCTCCTTTATAGAATACAATTTTTTCAAAATTAATAAAATCTTCCTCACAAACTAGTGTTGCATTTGTCTCATATTTCCACTGCACTCCACTTGGTGTGAGACGCTTTTTTTTCTGGCTTTTTCAGTCTTACAATTGGGGGGGGGGGTTGAATGGTTGAACATTTTGAATGGTTCAGAACTAGTCGTTTCTTTCTTCAGTCCTGGTCCTACTTTTAAAATGCAATGTATATGGGCAGAATTCCCCCCTATTAACACATTTGAAAATGTATGATATTTCAACTACCCTACTGCTGTGCTCAGATCTTCATTTTTTTCCTGTCACTTTTAAAAACATAGATATTTAATATCAGTAGTAATTAATCTACTTGGTATTTGCTTCTTTTGGTATCAGGGGGAGATACATTTCTAGATATGTTAAGATGAAATTGTTAGGGATTGTACTTCTTCCTGCCAAGCTTCAGAGAGACAGAAGAGAAAGCTCCTGTTTTGCACACCATTGCCATTCTTTCTTGCAGAATGGACATAGAAAGATGTGGAAACTCGGGATGTGAGATCTTTCTGCTTTCCCAGGATCCTTGAGTGGACAGTGGAGAAAGGGTTAAAAATGGAGCACATGAACAAAGGCAGCTAAACTCTGTCTTTGCCTTACCTCAAGGCACCTCCTTGATTTCAACAATTATCTTCCAACACATCTGATTTCCCATAATGGAGCTAGGCCGAAAGAAACATGCCTCAAACAGTGTAGTACAGCAAGCGGATGCAAAGGAGGGGACAAGGTTTAACTCCATTTTCCCTCACACCCTGGCTTGTAAAAATATAGACCCACCCATGCATAAATAAAGATTTCCCAGTTCAACCCTGAATTTAACAAGGCTACCCTTTTCTCTCTGATATCCCTGTGGCAGGACAGCCTTAAAAAGGTAAAGGTAAAGGTTCGGGACAGCCATAGCCAATCTGCGGGACAGATCTTGGGGCTCAAGCCCACCAGAACCTGGACCCTCCAGTCAAGGAGTCTAAACTCATTACTTTTAGGTTGTAAATGCCCTCTCTTATCTGGAAAACCCAATAAATACTAGGGTACTTTCTCCCTTGACTTCCCCTGTCAGCTTGCAGCCAAGTCAGGAAGCAGGGGCAGAAAGTCATTAATTGCCCACTCTGAGACTGTGCCACCACCACAGGGTAAAAGCTGCCCCCCCCCCAGTGCTAACCAAGATCAGCAGTAAAGGGCTACATATTGTTAGCATTGCCAAGTTCAAGGATCTGAGTAAGGAAGTGTGCAGCTCTTTAGTTAAACACTTTTATTACTACAAGGCACAAACTCAGGGTAGCTACAAGACGGGTTCTAGGTACAGCAAAGTAAACTAAAGAAAAGAAAAGTTACTGGCTAGGTACTTACAATCCTTGAGCATCTTTGCCGGTTGCATAGTATCCCTACCCCAGGGCACACCTGCAAGCATCCTCTGTTATTATTCCTCTCTATCATCCTTCATCACAACACACACACCAGCAAGTATGCTTCCCCAAAAACCACACCATAAAACACAACCCCCAAACAAAGGAACAGCTACGTTTTTCAGACCCCTTCCCACATGGTCTCTTAGAGCCATAGCCAATCTGGGGGACAGATCTTGGGGCTCAAGCCCACCAGAACTTGGACCCTCCCGTCAAGGAGTCTAAACTCATTACTTTTTGGTTGTAAATGCCCTCTCTTATCTGGAAAAGTGCATCTTGCCCATACTCTGCCTGTCTCAGGGATGTCAATGCACCTTTTCATCACCATGACTGTCACAGCATATCTTGCCCATCTGCCAGTCATCCACGACACTCCCCAACAGCAGCTTTTAAATAAGGATGTCAAGAGGTCCTCGATCCGCTGTTCTCACTCACCTGGACATAGCTGATCTCTAGGTCTGTCAACTCCAGTTTGGGAAATTCCTGGAGATTTGAGGATGGCACCTAGGGAGGGCAGGATTTGGGGATGGGCAGGACTCCAGAAGAGTACAATGCCATACAGTCCACCCTCCAAAGCAGCCATTTCTCTCCAGAGGAACTGATCTCATAAGAACATAAGAACAGACGCCAATGTTGGATCAGGCCAAAGGCCCATCCAGTCCAACACTCTGTGTCACACAGTGGCCAGAAATACCAGTGCCATCAGGAGGTCCACCAGTGGGGCCAGGACATTAGAAGCCCTCCCACTGTTGACCCCCCCCCCAAGCACCAAGAAGACAGAGCATCATTTGCCCCAGAGCCCCTATCTATACCTTGTGGCTAATAAGATCTCTGTCATCTGGATATCAGTTGTAACCCCTGGAGATCTCCAGGCCCCACCTGGAGGCTGGCAAACCTACTGATCTCTCCTGTCTCCTTTGGTTTGGACCTAAGTGTGTATGACTGCAGTCCTAAGAAATCTTTTCTGGGAACAAGTCCCATTGAATGAAACAAGACTTACTTCCAAATGGACCTGCTCAAAAGTATATCCCATTGTATTCAAAGGAGATATCCCCCAGAAGAGTATTCATACGACTGCAGCCTCTGTGTGTTTGCTGATACTATTGCCAGGGTGGGGTGGAAAAATACTTTGGCCTATCCCACCTTTCTATATGGTACTCAGAGCTGTTCAAAGCATCACAGTTGTTTTTTTAATCACAAACAGCAAAACAATCATACAATAATGATTTTAAAAGCCACACAAAGCAGCAAAACAATCCAACCCCACCAGAAATTTAGAAACAATAATAACAAGAATAATATACTGACTGCATGTAAAAGATTTGGCAGCCAATAAAACCCACTGAATAAAAACCTGGCATTAAGTAACCCATATTTAAACTGCATGTCACCTTTCTCACGGGCCTTTCGAAAGTCTTTCAGAAGATAAAGTCATCAATTGGGGTGGGGGAGATACCTGATCCAGCATCTGGGGCAGAGAATTCCAAGTCTTGAGGGCTGCAAATAGGGTTTCCAGGTCCCCTGACCACTGGGGGAGGATGGGGGGGTAGGGCTGCAAGGTCCAGAATGGTCAACCCCTGGAAATGTGGGGATGGAGCCTGGGGAAGACAGGGAGCTCAGTGGAGTACCATGCCATAAAGTCCGCCCTCCAAAACATCATTTTCCCCCCAGGGGAACTGACCTCTGTAGTCTGGAGATGAACTGTAATCCCAGGGGAATCTCCAGGTCCCACCTGGAGGATGGCATCCCTAGCTACAGCTGGGAGGATACTCACCAGCTTCACTTCATGTTAAGTCAGCACTAGAGCTGCTGTCTGGAGAATAAAATGCCCCTGGAATAGAGACTTGA